ACAGTAGCCAAATTAATTTTAATATCATTTTAGAAAATAGAAATCAGCATACTTCAGTGAAGAAAAGACCAATGAAATATTTTTTTTGTTTTGGAGAAATTACATTTTATTATTCTTTTTGGTTTCAGGAATACTCCTTCTTGAAATGAACATACTCCAGTAAAAGTGTATTTCCATTTGTGTAGTTTGTTTGTAACTGATTAGTAGTACTAAGCATATGTAATTCTTTAAAAAGGCACATTTTGAATTATTGAATGCTACCATGACTAATATTCAGTTTAGCCAGAAAGGGCCACAACTGCACTTTTCATACAGTAATTAAAAATAGAAGCACATTAAGTGATGATTTCCATGGTTAAATTTTCATAATATTTTCTCCTTTGTCATAAAATGGTCTTTTTCTCTAGTTTAAGTCCCAGTTATATAGCTTTTCAGTTTTGATGAAAAAAAACCTCATTGTGTTCTGGTAAGCTTGTCACAGTACAGAAATGAGGGTGAGACAATGAAATATGAGATAGTAGACACTATTTCTTAAGCTAACTCAGACCCCAGAATGCTCCTGTCTTCTGACGAAACAACTGGCAATAACACCAGTTTGGGCAATGCAGTATGGAGGATGAGTACTTTTACAAACTAATTTGAAGAGAGATTCTTCTGAACTAATATAGATATATGCCTCTGAATTGTTCTAAACTCTTTTTTACAGTTGAGGGAGAAAGGCATTTTTAGGATGTGATTCATTTTATCGTGAAGTGCACATCTAAAACAGATTAAAAATGTGTCCTCGGAATGCTGTTGCTCTGCAGAAATGGTTAACTAGAATGAGCAACTCATGCAGCCGTATATACTGTAGACGTCTAAAATTAACAAAAGAGTTGCCCAATGTCACAAATGCTGTGATGTCATTTATATCATGTCAGCAGATGCTTGAACATTGTAACTGTAAGGCACAAAGTTGATATAGCCCATTACTTAAAATGTAAGAACCCACATGTGCTAAAATTTATGGTAGGGAATCGCTATTTATCTGGATATTTCGCCTGAAATTTTTGGGAGCTGCTGGCACCTCTGGCCTTGCATATAGAATAATGTTCAAGTTTTCTAAAAGCCAATAACACTTTTCACTTGAAAATTTTAAGAAAGTTAATTTCAAATTGATTGATTTGTATTCCAGGTTGTTACTGCTAATTTTTTAGGCATCTGGCATTAATTAATTCTCATATACGTTTCTGCTAATGCCTATAAAATTTATCAGAAATGATCAAAATGTGAGAAACTCAGCTCCTTATGAAATGTGTTTACAGTGTATGCCATTGCATTAGCGGTCTTTAGTTCTTTACTACGTAATAACCAGTCCATATTTCTGTATTCAAGCATAAACATAGATAAAATATTTCTGTGTTAATTGTGGGTCTTAGTGAACTCTTCTTTAACTAGAATGTGAAAAAATGTCAGATTCTATTCTATGAAGAAGATTAATTAAAAGGTGAATGTTTTTAAACATAAATATTTATGTTACCGTTATGGTAGTGTCTGAGGTTTACTATGGAATACATCTCACGTGAAGACCCAGTCAGAAGATTATATTTATATTAAATCCTTTCCTTCAGTGCCCCTAATAAGTTTTTGTAACCCGTCTACTAGCTCAAACATTTTCCCCTTGAAACTTCTATTTTTTCTTTCTCTTTTCTTGATTTTTTTGTTGTTTATGCCTCTCTATCTCCTGAAGCTAATTTGGGGCATTTCATCACAGAAATGTATTCCATATGACTGCAGATATGTATATGAAATTGCTAAGGGCAAATAAGTAGAGATTGTACGATAAATAGGGACAATATGACATTGCATGAATGTTATATATATTTGCCTTAATAAATTTTCGTATATCTTTAGCAAATGTAGTATCTTGTACATTTACTGTGGATTGGGATAATTTATTACAAAACCATTGTCTGAATGGAAAAAAGATTCTAAATTTCATATTAAAAATATATACTGAAGAGCAAGGGATGAATGAATTGCAGAACCAACCCCAAATAACGATTTTCCTCTTTAAATGTCCTTGAAGAGGATTTCAAAGTCATATGGATGGGTGCAGTGCTGTCATTTTCGGATTTCATTTTAATTCAGGACTGTGGTTCTCGAATTCGTCCAGAGGAGTCCTGTGGCTTGCAGCCTCTGTCTCATGAATACCTCTCAGCAATTTCACAGACGGTTTTTAAGACCTGTGAAGCTGGAGACACAAAAGGTTTGTACTTAATCCTCTTTCTTCTGAAAAGTAACTCATGCACCTCGTCAAAGTAAAACTGGAAAAAAAAGTTTCCTCTTTTCTAGGGACATGCACTAACCTACGTACAATAAATTTAACTAATCACTTGAAATAGTTACAGATTTTTAAAATCGGGTTAATTGGTTTATGTGACAATTTTTTGTTTAATAAGTTTCAGGTTAGTGGTGCACCACTGCTTGTGTTATTGTCATGTAGCCTTTAAAATGCATTGAAATATTTCCATGAAAACCATTTAAAATAAAAATGCTGTATTCTAAATGAAAGGGATTATCGACTTAAAATAAAAATTAGTTTTAGAAAAAGAACACAACACTTTCATCCGTTTGAATTTTGTATTTCCGCTTTTATATTGGAAACACAAAAACAACTTACAATTTCAAACAGTAAAGTATGTGTTTTTACATATATTGATACCTTAAAAAACAAGATGGACAAATCAAACATTATACAATAACCAATACAATCAAGACATCTCTTTGGTTTAGTGAGAACCCAGATTACAACAGATTGTCAGACAGGTATTCATGTTTAGGTCACAGCTGCATGAAGATTTATGCAAGTGTACTTTAACAAATCTGAGTAATCCACAGGACTACTCAGGCATACAATCTTATTCATAGCTTAAGTTGTTGCTGGATTAGACAATAAGTAATTTTGTCCAGTTCTTCATTAGATACATGAAAAATAACCCAACACTCCTGTATGGTCTACTAACACAACCGTATTTTTTATCTTGCCATAGATAGGAGCAGCTTCTCACAGCAGTAAATTTGCACAAACTCATGGAATAATCAATACAAAGTAAAAGGAATGTGGGAACTGCCTGAATGCATCACTTCTTGTGAAACAGAGGCATATATTAGTTTTGTGTTATACGAAGGGACCACACAAAGGAGACACTGTTGTACCTAGCAGCATATTTTAATCACACAGCAAGTTGTGAATCATAAAGAAGCACAACCCAGCCTACGCTACTACATCAGGACATAAAGTTCCTGACTGGAAAGCCCAACCCAAATCCACAGAAGAGTCCTTCTGGGGCAGACAATCTGTTTCTCCTGATATGTAACATGCTTCTTTTGAACACTGCATCTAGCTAAGTGAAGCTGAATATAAAATATCTTTCACAGCCTTATTGCGAATAATGTACACAATTAAAATGGAAACAAACTTCAGGAGATGTAGTCTCAAAGGACAAGTATATTAAACAGGAAAGAATAATTTCTGCTTATAAAGCAAAGATTGCCAAGAGGTGTCTAATGAACCTAGAACTGGGGTTTGCAGTATGTGGCAACAAAGGGCTGTATAGTTTTAATGTATGTCACAACTTCCAACTGGAACCGGAAAGCATGGCTTTTTGTGGAAAATCATTCCAAATTTGTAACAACCAAATGATATCCCAATCCTGCCAGTGAACATTTTCCTAACACGTATGGGAGCAATTGCAAATTCCCAGCTAAAGCAGCAACATTTCTTTTACTTAAATAAGTTAAATTTTCAGAGAATCCAAGCAATGTCCTGTTTACTTTCAGAAGAGAACTCAAAACTTCTGCAGAAGTAAGTCAGCATCATACATTGTTCTTACGCCAGGGAACAACTTAGTTGTATAGCAATACTGAGGTACTACCCCAGCAAAATGGATCTATGCTGGCAAAAGCTTGTGTTTGTGCAGACATAGGCAGAGGCTGAGGCAGAAATAGAGATGAAACCTTAGTTCCTCTGAAATTAATGGTAAAACTTAGAAGTCTGCTTTGCAGTTCAGTGCAACCAGGATTTCAAGCCTCATTTCTAGTCCTTTGATGCAGTGCAGAGACAGAAAGGCAGAACTGACCACCTTCTGTCCTAGTCATCATGGCACTGTTCTTTGGAGGAGGCTCAGCATCTTACCGAGTATGCACTTAATTCACACCATTCCTTTCTTTCTCTTTCTCTTTTTTTATCTTTTTTTTTAATCAATAAATTAAAAAATTGAATATTCAACAGGAGGAGTTTCTCTCTTTTAATCTTGTTTGGATCATGGAATGAAATTATGATTTTTATAGCAACAAAAATCCTTTTTCCTTCAGAAAATCCCCTTTGATTCAATGGTGTTTGAACCAGGTTATCATAGGAAAATTACCTCTCTGTTCAGTATTGCTGTATTATCAATAATACAGAAGTCAGCAAGCACTAACGGTGTGTTTGGCTCCTCAGAGAGAGAGAGACAATTGATAGAGACCTTGAGAACCCCAAGTTGTGCTAAATTCCTGCAGGTCAATTGGGCTACTGCAGTCTGTAGAAATTTGGTATGTAGCCAATTACAAAATCTGGTGGGTAAGAGATCACAGCTTCACTTCTAATGTTCTGCTATGACATACGTGTTTTAGTTGTATCCAGCTTTCCACATTTTCCACAACTGTGTCCAGTTTAACATAATTCTGTACGAGCTCTCTCTTTGCAATCAACAGCTATCTGGATTTAGGTCCAGCAGAGACATAAACTGATGTTCAACTAAATGACTGTCTCCTTTGATTACAAAGTGTAAATTTCAGTTTGGACATAAGTTTGTAGGCCTAAGGCCATTTATTCTGTAGCATCAAAATCGTGTCCTTTTAAAAATAATTTTACTTTTATTGTTCATAAATGCAGCTAAAAGCAAAAAAAACCCCAAATCTATACCCTATTCATGGAGAAAACATTTTTTAAAAGTTTGAGGATGCCAAATAGACACCAAATGTCAAAGTAAACTAGTCATAAATCAACAAACTATCTTTAGCATCAGTATAGGTCAAATATTTAAATTTGCAGTTGTCAGTTTAGCTTTTTTTTTTCTTTTTATACAGATAATTTTTTGGCACTATAGAAAAACTTTGATTTTGATCTTGAAAGAAAAATATACGTATTTGTGGCTAAGACAATGGGAAAGGTTGAACAAAAATAAAAGAGGCTGAAAGCCGTATCCAGAAGAAACAAAACTATCAAATTAAGTGTACAGCCTTTGTTGGTTAAAACTTTTTAACTTTAGGCTAATATTTTTAAAATACAAGGTAAACAGTCCTAAAGAATTGTTTTAAAAGTATATTTCTTTTCATACCATTTTAGGAGAACAGTTTATAGGAGCACTGGCAATATTTAATCTCATATCTCATATCTTAAGCAGAAGATTTATGTATGCAACTGATAGACTGCTTTAATGAGCCAAAAACCGAGTTTACTTTCACTCTTCCTGTGGAAACCTCTTCCATACAGGCTTTCATAAAACTTTGTTTATACCAGTTTTTAATTTGGGGATAAACTTAAACTAACAGCTAAACTAACAGATAAACTAAACTAACTAGCAGCTTGCTCTTTCTTGCTCTCAGTGAATTTTAGGTATACTTTCCTTGCCTGGTAGAGCCGATGCTAACTCTTTTAACTGAAGCACCACAAAACACAGGCTGATTGAAATGGTGCTGAAAGCTACATTGCGTGCTGCTACTTTATATAAATGGGAAAAAAAACCCAACTTATTATTGCAATAAAAAATAAGCTTGATTTCCAAACTAATATTGATTTTTTGCAATTTTTCATTGTTAATTGTCTTCCTCTTTTATATAAGTTTCATTTTATCTTTTAACACAATCTCATTTTTGAAGGGTAGGAATGCATTGTCTAACTTTTGTTAAGTTACAATAGGAAAAGTTAATAATAATTGGATTAAAAATGCATAAATTTACAGGTATCCTTTAAAAATCTGTATGAATATAAAACCTGCAACTATTCTATTAGCATTAAATGTCAGTGCTTCCTATAAACGTCAGTTTATCTCCATATATCCTTGTTCTCTCATTTTTCTACATTTGCCACTAACCTTTAGCATATGCCAAAAATGGATCTATTTTTTTCTTAATATACCTAGAGAGCTATTGAATATAAATCAAACACACTATTTGAAAGAAGCTTTTCAAAAGATACTTATCACTTTCAGCTGCCAAAGTTTAAACTTTTATTGTTCCGATGTTTCAGCTCCTCAATATTCATTTTATATAGTTCTACTTTTCTCGTTTATTACCTAAAACCAGATCAGCTCATAAATGTATGGGATGTTAAGAAGAAAATACCATAAAATGAAGGATCTCAGATGTTGTAGACATTGCCAGAACTTTTATGTATTTGGTTTGAAAGAAAAATTACAGTGTCAGGAAAAAACTGTCCAGTTTTCATATATTTTTTAAACAGAAACCTCTGCCCAAAACAAATTTCAGGTCACGTATGAGAGCTCTACAGCAGTGGTAGTCTCAGAGTCCAGATCTCAAATCAACCAACCTTTCTGTCCCTACTCTGCTACTCAAAAGGCACAAAGCAATAAAAGTGTTTGCGTGGCACCTATTGCTGTGTTATCTGAGACCTTGCACTTTTCAGCCTCTTCATACGACTGCTGTGAAACTGAGAGTGACCCTTTAGCCACGGATTGCAAATGGGGTGCGGAGGGAGCATGGCAGGAGCTAAGGGCAAGATCCACAAGTGGTGACAGAAATCTTGGAGTGTCAAAGCATGCCTGGCCCCGGTGGTGGCCAGGAGGCCACAGCCCAGAGTGAGGGACCTCAAAGCCAAGGGAGGGCCAGCGTGAGGAAGGGATTCGCAATGGTCAGCACTGGAGGCTGCAAGAAAGAGGAATTGTCTAAATTCAGCCCTCGGTTTCCCAGCTGAGGGCTGGAAGAGCACTCCCAGAACCTGATTATCCACTTTGTACCTTTAGATAAAGATTCGCTTTAACCTCTAGATAAAAAGTCTACACAGAATCTCACCCAGGGACCAAAGTTTGGATCTCTTTTCTCCCAAATAAATTACCAGGTTACAATCATGCTATTTTCCCACCTTAATGAATTTTGAACTTTAAAGCTGTCCTCAACTGACGAGAAGAGTGGGGAATGTTATCCTTAAGGACAAAAAGCTAGGTGATTAAGACACAGATGATGCAAGTTTGGAAATCCTCTGGGCAAGGAGCGCTGGGCAGCTCCGTCTCCCCGCTCGCACCCTAGCACCACGGGCCTGACCATCCCTCCTTCCTCTCCTTACACCATGCTGCACTGGGCTGCTGGCCCAGTGGCAGCCTTCAGGAGGCACCCATGGGAACCAGGGGAGCAGAGCTATGCTCACTGATCAACAGCGCGGTAAAGTCAGTGTCCAGGCTTTTGCTTCGTTCCAGTATGCCATCATTTGCTCCACATCATATGCAGGTGTAGCTGAGGGTGGGGTAAGCGTGTTCTGCATGGGGCAGAAGTAGCAGCAGTTGCGCAGGCTACACAGCAGCTGGAGCGGAATGGTTGTAGCATTGCGGGATGTATTCCGCCCTTAGATGTACCAGTGCGGACTCCCGTACAAAAAATTCTTGCTGGTTTTATTTAGAAGGACTCTTTTATCTGCTAAGACAACTCACCCTGCTACTTACCAAAACATTTGTTTGGGACTTTTGCTCAGTGCAAGCGCAGGCTTCCCCCCTGGAAATTCCCTTGCTCCTGAGGTAGCAGCTGTCTCTCCCAGGGCTGCTGGGATCCTGCAGTGTTGCTTCACTCAGCCTCCCACTCAGTCCCTGGCCTGATAAATGTTGATAGGCAGCAGCCTTGGGTTTTTTTGCTGTGGCTTCTTGTGTCACAGCAGTCTATCACCCACAGCAAAGCACACACGGCTGGCTGCTGAGCTGCTATCTGGTAGCAGTGACGGTCACAAACTCTAAGGCCAGGTCTGCTCTGCAAACATTTGCTTTTGGAGCCATTTGCGGCGCTGCAATGAGAAAGCTGGCTGTGCTAGCAAGGCCCAATGGCATTGACACCAGGACCTGGGGGCCTCTGCGCTTTTCCTTGTGTAACGCCTTTAATCAGAGGCAAAAGCAGGTTTTACTGGCAGAGCTACATAGACACCGGGACATATCATCAGGATGGTGCACTTGTATGGGTGAGAAAAGGGTTTCTTGTGTTGATCTGAACATAAAGGCAACTCAAAATTCTGTCTTCCTTCAGAAGCTAAACACCTCTGACTTCCAGTAGGATTTTGGAAATTAATAGCTTTAGAGAACCAAAATAACAAAACCATTCAACCTTAGGTAAGAGATGCCTAAAACCCGCTGGATTTTTGTAATCCCACTTTATGCTCCTAATCTGTAAAATCATATTTGAAAATAAGGATCGGGCTCTAATAAATCACATAGGTTATTCATCCCACTTTACTTTCACCTTCTGAAATGTATATGTGTAGTCTGGGATGCTTCTCTGAACTCTCACAAATTAAAGAAATTAGTATTTCTGAGGGAAAGTCATCCTCTCTCATTATCTGTACGTTATCTGTATAATCTTAGATTCATTTTTCTATCAAGGGGCTCTCAAATCTAGCTTCGATCAATCACCCAAATTTTAGATGTTTAGTGGTAGATGAGAATGAATCTTGTCTTTAGACACTTCTGAATGAATATTTTCTCTTCCCATTCAGCCTCCTCACCCCCCTTGCCCTTTCTCGTATACATTCTGTGGAGAAAGGACAAGCTGCTACAAGAAAGGCAACGCGAACTGAGAAATGAACCCACACACAACTGTCAAATTTGAGCATTTACAGCTCCTTCATGGCAAGGAAAAGCTCCCATCCTTGCTAAATGAAAAGGGCATAACACAGAGGAAGGAAATAGTCTCTTCAAAGGGTTAGGGGGCATTTAATTTAGGGAAAACTCCCATGACAAAATACTCAAAAATATCTCTCTTGCTGTATAATAAGGCTACTCACAGAAATACAGAGGAGATGCTGACATCCAATTACTGTTTTCCAGGACAGTGGATTGTCCCTTGCCTCAGCTGCTCTGACAACAGGACCTGCGACTGGAGAGAAATAACGTGGCAGCCCCACGGCTGCCAATACTCTGTGCTAGCCAAGCCCGAGCTCCAGCGCTGTGTGGAGGGCAGAAGAGTATGTAACAGATTTTACATTTTAATTTGTTTTTACTTACCTGGATATTTAGTGTCCTGAAGCTTTACAAACAATTTTATGATTGATGTGTAAGAAAAATCCCTTTTTATTATAACTGGAAAAAGATTCGGATGGAAAATCCACAGGGACAAAAACCAACCATTATCCATAATTTAGCCTCATATGCAGACACAGTTGTCTGCTGCCATTTTGCATAGGATCCTAGGTCACACCAGTGGAGTTTCAAGACCTACGGTGTATGTGGTTACCAGTTAGACCTGCAGTGAGTATATAAGGGCTGTAAATGGAGGATGGATTTGCATTGTTGTCAGTTTGTCTCACACTTGACATGCAAGTTGGGTGTCTTCTGCTGCATACCTAATGCATGGCATTGCTTGTGCACACTAATCTTACCAAGTCTTCTTGCACATTCTTTTCTTGTAGTGAAGCTTCTAAGGTGATTGCTTGGAAATACAAGGTCTCCTTAATAAGCATGCTATGACTGTAAAACTGTTGAGAGAGAGCTCTGATCTGAGGCTCAGGTACCTTACTGAGGATACAAGTATCCAGAAAGTAAGTAATTAATTGTTACAAAGCTTTTTATAGTGTATTGTCTAGGTAAGAAAACAGTAACTAAAAGTGGCTTTTTGATAAAATCTGAGAGCACTTCTATATAGACAAATACAAAAATAATAGTCTTCCAATTAACATTTCCTCCTTCTTTTCTAGTCATTTCTTGTCCTGCACAAAGTCCTTCATTGCCATGTGGCTTTATTTCTGCTTGTGGTTTTCTCCATTACTATAGAGCTGCAGGTTTCTCCTAACATTTTTCTAAAAAACATAGGTTTATATGACAGAGGAGAAGCTTAATTTGCTCCTTATGTACAAAAAAAGCACATCTGGATTGACCACAGCAAAAAATGTAGAAGAATTTGATAGCTTTGCTTTGGTCTTTAATTTCCATAGATATCGGGCTGCTTCAACAAGCAAGCATCCTTTGGTCAGACAATTGAAGGATAGCAGAGGAACAATATGCCACTATGGAAGTGCCTTGCCAAGGTATTGCCGGGAGGATTATGCTGACATTCTCACCTCCTGAATCCGACCATGCACATTCACCAGTGCTAAAAACAGGACAACGTTTGTTAAGGGTCCATTAAAACCAAGTATATGAAATGAATGTTTGTGAGCTTGATTTCTTAATTCAAATTCCACTATGTTCTGACTCTCTGAGGTCACTCATCTATTCTAGTGTCAGATGGGAGCCAGATCCTATGTGATCTACATTAACACCATGCAAGAAAAATTTCTGTAAAACTAATTGTGCTTGTTTCCTATTCTGCACCTTTTGCAAAAGTCTTCCATCATTTTCTGATGGCCTTCACTGCACTGTAGAAATCTGCTGAATCACTCCTGTTACCTTTGCACAGGTGTCCATTTAACTGATTTATTCTTTTAAAGTCATCACTCTAATGCATGTTCCCCTTTTGGTATATTTCTCCTATATCTTTCCCTCTGATGTTATTTTTATCATCACTTTGCAGTAGTTTTAACTTTGTGTGGCATTTTGCAATAGCATTTTTGCTTCTTTCACCAAATAAATAAAAGTAGAGCGTGGACAAAAACTCCCTCATGTCAGTAGCACTTAAGAACTAAGAGAGACTTTCTTCATACCTAAGTCAGATGAGTAAAAATGGTCCTCTGCTTGGGTGATAAGGTCCTGATTCTGCCTCTGATTAAAGCAAACTTTAGAATTACTTTACACAGTCTAAGCAATGTAGTAGAAAAAGTATTTTTTTTTCAGGTGCCCACTGAAAGAGACTTTTGCCTGTCAGTTGTATTGTATGCTATTATGTATGTTTAAGCAACCTGGATCTTTTATAAGTGAGCTATTGAGTAGCCAGCAAGATATAATTCTTGTGAACAAATACATTTTTATTACACAAGATATCTTGGTAACCATCTATAAATATTTATATTTCCTAATTTGTGATACTAGTTTCAAACCATTATATACCTTGTCCTTAAGCACTACAGAGATCACTGACTTCTCAAACTAATGACATCATCGTTTCCATAATAAAATAAGCAGAAGGTTTCAATGCTGGAAATGTAAACAGATTGGAAAAAAAGCATGAGTGCAAAACATGAGGGCAAAAATCATCAACCCAAGTGAGGACATTGAGATGATCTAGAATGCTGCTTGATTTATATTGTCATTTGCTGAAGTTAGCTAAGAACAACAAAACTCACTCATGTGTCCACTTCCCAAAATGGCCTCAACTAACCTGTGTGCCTCTCTATTCTGGGGTTTTTTAGTATGCCACCACACTTTGAATATTCAGCTTGTGTAGCTTTGGTCTCTGGAATTCAAAATCCTTTACAAAGGAGTCATGTATCATGATCTACATCTGAATTCTTGCTCAAAGTTTACTCTGAACTAAGGCAATAAAACTTCCATACACCCCACATAATTACAAATCCTTCCTCAGGAAAGCAGACACATGTATGTCCGTAGCGTCTTTGGGTCAAATGACATCATACTTTCCATCAAAACACTAACAGCCCTCTATGACTGAATTTCACTTCTGAATAACTTCATAAAAAATTCAGAGTCATGCAAGATTTCACCAGGAATCACAGGTAAAGCAAGTAGTGTCATTTGTGATTCACTAGGCTGAAGTCTCTGATTTTTGTCCTGGAAAAAAAATTTGGTTTCAGGATTCTGATCTACTGGCTTTACTTCTTACAATTAAAAACATCGTGATAAGACATTATAAACAACATAAGTATCTGTGATTATGTTTTTCTTTTAAATAGGAGGTGTTAATCTCTATGCCGCTTTCAAATTCCAACTACGGTAACTGCAGGCTGTTTGTTTGCTTATGGTCCCCTTTTAGTTTTACATGGAAAAAAAAAAAGGAAAAAAAGCCTACTTGTCTTTCTACTTCTAATGAATGTGAAGGGAAGCATGCAATGAGTCAAGCACTGCTGTGCTGTGTCCCTGATCTGGGTGCACTTCAGCAACTGATGAAATAAGATGTAAAGTGAATGGTTTTTTTGGCTGAAATGCTGCACATGTAAGATCAATTGTATCTTTAAGTGCAATCATTCTGTTTTTCTCATGTTTCAGAGAACAGTAAAATGCAGCATTCAGATATGTCTCTTGCTCATTCATTTCTTTTATGCATTTGTCAATGTTTCTCAAATATGTTTATGGTCAGGCAAACAGAGCACTTATTTCCTATCTGCATCATAAATAAGCCTTCAAAAATGCTTTCTAATTTGTTTTCTAACTCCAGGCTGCTTTCATGTCTTATATTAAAGTTGATTTGTTTTTCAGAGCTCATCTCTAAAATTATCATCTCCTTTATAACAGAAATTTATTTTCCCTGGCTATGACTTCCAATTGATTTCACATCATCATTAACTGCTATTTTAATTTGTGTGCACATAAAACTGTATTTAAACTAAGTTGTTTCTGTTTCACAAAAACTTAAGACCACCTGTAGTGAAACAATAACACTCAGATTGGTGGAGACATGAGAAAGGATATACATCCACAAAAACAGTTTGTGAGGCCTTATTTTGCTTTATGATGTGTTAACAAGACTAGTCAGTCATATGTTTGCATTTCAGACATGGTAAACAGGAAAATTTTGAAGTGTTGAGGCTAAGGTGATTCTGGCTGAGCAGATTTTCATTCAGTCCACTTTTAATATTTGCAGTTCTTTTTCTCCTCCATTTTAAACTCTAACTAAGGGTAACGAGATGCAGGCTGTGTTGTTCTTAGAGAACTCCACATGTATGTCTTAACTGAATCAAAGAATAGGCAAACATAATGAAAATATTCTATCTGTATTATATTGGCTCAAAAAAACCCTCTGTAACTGTGGTTAATGAGTTTTTGCTGTAAGATTTATACAATTCTATTAAGACGTGACACTTTGATTCTTGTACAAGAACTTTAAAAAATAGGTGAAGGAAAAGGGGTTCTAACAGGTAATTATTTATCCAATTAGCAGCATAGAGAAAGCTGGCCTCAATAGCAAGGGGGATATGTATTTTGTTTATCATTGAGAAATACTACTCAGAGTTTAGTCTTATAATAAAGTACCATTGAGTCATGTGTAATTAAGAACAGGAAATATGAAAAGGTAATATTTGCTGAAGTACTTAAAATTCAGCTGTTAAAACAGGAATTTTAACATAATTTCTTAATAATATTTTAAAGTTAAGTAGTGTTTTGGACTTACAGGTGTTTAAATTTCCTAAGTGTGGTTAATTTATAATGATAGGTCTGGTTAAGAAGTGAATTCCACTGTGCTTACACAATCTTTTAAAGCCTGTAAGCTATAATGGAATTTTTTACACCAAACATTTGCAACAGAAGACACTGAAAACATCTGTCTGCGTGAAAGTGGTGTTCTTTGTCTGGTAAAATTATAGACTTATGTATGCCTGATCCTTTAGTCATCCTGCAGACAAATTTCCCATTGACCTGAACAGTGTATGACTATGCCTTGTGCCAGACTGTAAAGAAATTTTCATATTCTACACACCTGAGCCATCATTTTGCTCATTATTGTCATAGACCTAAATACAGAACCATCCCCAGAGCCCCTGGTTCAAATCATATTAAATACTACATGGCACACACAACTATAGTAAGTTTGTGCAACTGTACAGAAATAAATGTGGCCATAGCTACCACATTCCATTACACTGAATGATTACTCTAATTCATCAAAGCTCTTGGGTTAGTTGAAGGACATAAGTTTTCTTCTGAGGCTAACATCACTTCTTTGAGCCTTTGAGTCTTCCAAGCATTTGCTGAAAATGAAGCTGACTTGCAAAAGTGGATGCTTTGAAAGGTGCTTTCTGATGGTCTGCGTACCACAAGAAAATGTGCTTGGCCAGCTCTGCACAAGGGCAGTTTGAAAAAGCAGGTAGGATTACCTACAAATGTCCTCTTCTTCCACCTGGATTTTTTTTTAGGTAGAAGAAAAAGAAGAATTTGTTTATTTTCCAGGATTTACATGTGTCTCACAGTATGGTTGAACCAATAGTTAGAAGCAGACTGCTGGATGCAGACAAGGTCTTAATGAATGGGTGCTGTGTGTGTGCAGATTTGCTGTGCTATGCACCTACCAGCTTGGGATGCATTGGGTTACAAGGAATGCACACCCATCTTTCTATCTGAGATCTTCTCTCTACTTATGGGAGAGCATTCCCTTCAAAATCCCAGCATGTGCAGTCTCCATAGTGTGACTGCTAACACGCTCCTGTAACGACTGCAAACAGACTTCAGAGCTCTCCATCAGGGCTAGAGGGCAGGGACCATAAATTTCACATACTGCAGTCCTAGTTTTAATGACATATCTTTCAACAATGCTGTGACTTGACTGTGAAAGAAGTAGCTGGAGTTAAACAGATTTACATGATTCCAGTGATACAGTCCTGGTATGGCTCATACCTACTTGAACAGTCAAAGACCTCTTGACTGAAAGCTAGTATGGTTGTTATAACTGACAGACATCTTTGAGGATAACCTACACTTCTGGTCTGGTTTTCTGTACAACCACAAGTCCAGTTTGGCTCATTTCTCTCTTCCCCACTTACATCAAGTCTTAACTATTCTCTTAGCAGACTTGTTTCTGAGTGTTCAGGTTAATTTCCCTAGTGAAACAACCTGTATTCCTCACCAACGTGATGTTGCCATCTGTCTCATTCCTCACTCATCCTGCTCAGCCACACCTTCTCCTAGGAATAAGTATACATTCCCAGATGGACACCCAAACACTCAATAGCATTAGCTGTCTGATCTAATTTCCTGACCTTCTGCTTTACCTCCTCATAACAAGCTCACTTAAGAGTGCAAATGGAGATGTTCTGAGACTCGGAACGTAATCCTTCAGAGATGGGCTGTGTGCAGTCTCGTCAGTCTTGTGATAATATTTGAAGAAGCATGCCTGGGCCCCAACAGTTATTTATTTTGTCCAGTTACACTGACTGCTCTAAAGGAATCTGCTCTGACTCCTGTCACCCCCTTCACGTTCTCAGAAAATCAGAACAACAACAACAATACTATTCCAAGGCCCACCTGATATTTTCATATGGTGCCCAGCATAATGGCACTTAAGGGCTAGAACTGTCACTTTACAAAGTGATCTTACCTAGCTTGTCTCTCCTGGCACTGGTTTTCTAAAGGAGTGTGCCGTCCCATCTGCAGACCTGGCCAGCTAGGTACCTCAGGGCAGACTTGAAAACTCACTCATAGATCCACTGCTGGTGTGTGTGTGCATGTAGAAATTGTAAAGCCCTATAATGCTGAAGTGTTTAACAGCGTAAATTGAGTGTGTGTGTGGGGGGTGTTTTTCTGGTTTTGACATAACAAAAAAATGGGAAAGAGGCTGATAAGTTGATCTCAGTCTTTGATGCTCTGCAATGTTTGAGACATTGGAAATATTTAGAATGACACTTCACACTTAAATTGCTAGAGAATGCACAGTGTTGGCAAAGCTAGGCATCTGTGCATCATGTTCATTGGCCTTGGCCATGAACCCTTTTTTTCCATGAAGGGTGTAGAACAACACCCTTTGAATTCAGTGGTAGATGTGAGTAGACCAAATACAGTTAGAAGGAGAAAATATCTGTCAGAATCTTAGTCACAGTAGAATGAAGAGTGAGATAAAAATGCCACATCTGCCAAATCAGTGTAATTAGTAGCTGAATATGCTGATTTGCAATTAGAAATCCCCATGTGCAGTGATAACAAAATGGTATCATATGTTATTAGAAGTGGAAGAGAAACAATCTAGCACGTTCTACCAACTGCTCTACATGTGTAACCTGGTAGAGACTGTTCGTTATTCTGCTAATGATGTTCTGGGTTTTTACAGAAATGTTCTGACCTACATTGCAAGTTAAAGATATCCTTGCCTGCTAATATCTGAGAGCTGCTTTTTAAATAGATATACATCTAGGTGCTACAGTGATGGACTTATTAAATGGATATTAAAGAGACATGGATATAGGCAGACTAGAGAGATTAAGAGATTTTGCAAGTTATAAGAATTGTTAAAAAAACTCAAGTTAGCCTACTTTAGAATTAGGCTTACATACTGTAAGTGTGGACTGTCTTCCTAATTATAAATAATTGTGTGCGTGTTTGTGTCTGTCAGAGAGGGAGGGAATATCCAACCAGTCCTTCCAAGGATCCAAGGATCCTTGACTTCTGTGAGTCGTGTTATGTTTGGTTTAAAGAAGTTTCTTCTGACACAACATGAAAACAGTTGGAAATCCCCTTGCATGTGAGGGAAGTGCTTGTGCAGTCCAAGCATGAGCAGCAACTCTTTAAGAATTTACTCTGTGAAGTAGCTTTGAGAGGTCCAGTACAGGAGGTAAAAAAGCCTCTGTATGCTCAGTGCTTGTTTTAATTTGTTTGCTACCATACATAAGATATCAAGGGCTTCCCTGCAGCCCACAATGGGCAAGGCAGGGGATGTTCAAGTCATTGTCATGCCTATTCTTGGCCCTTGCACCAGATCAGGGAATGTTCATCTGAAACTGTTTCTGTTCTGTGGGAACCATCATTGGTACACTGTTGTGGGTTATTTTTACTCACAATAGGTTCATAGTGGGAACTGGAATCAGTCCCTAAAACTGTGACATTCCTGAAGGGAATAGATGAGATGTATTAGATGAGAGAAGTCCAAGATGCTCTCACCACATAAAATCTCTAAGAGAAGCTTTGGAAATGTATTGTTAAACATGTAATCTTGTGCAGTCTGAATTTTGTTTGCATAGCCAAATATTCAAGGTGGAAGTGGTAAAGCATCAAACCCCAAATCAAATTAAAAAACCAAACAACAAAAACCCAACTTACAGGGTGCCAACTACCCTGAGTGCAAGAGGAGGTAGGAGAAGCAGCATACTGCTGGGCAGAGAACAGGGCTGTTATTGTGTTATGGCTCTGTGGGGTTTCTGACTCCCAGTTTTACATTTATGCTCCTCTATGTGGATTTCTGGCTGAGGTGACTGTGGTAATAACTTATTACGCACACAGTTTCATTGGCAAACCACAGTGAACCTGGGTTCTCTTCCCCTTTGGACTTTTGTCATTCCTTACA